AGCCTTTAATCCCAGCACTCAGGAGGCAGAGGCAGGCGAATTTCTATGAGTCTGAGGCCAGTCTGGTCTACAGAGTGAATTCCAAGGCAGAGGAGCTATACAGAGAAATACTGATTCAAACACAAACAACAAAAAGCAAGACTCCTTGTATCTTGTGGCCCAGCCTGGGAATCTGTATTTGATGAGTTTCCATAGGCTAATGTTTGTGAGTAGCATATGCTCAAAGAATGAGAGAGCAAGAAATTTGGACACGAAAGAAAAGGATAATTTTTTCCCATAGATAAATGGCACTTTTTCTGTTTTAAAGAAAACAACATTCAGAACTGACATTCTCTTTGCAATATTAATTCTGGTCATGAGGAAATCATTAGACCAATTATACCAGTATTTGTGAGTTTCTGGATATATTGGGACAACCCGTAATCCCTGCCTCCTAGATCTGTCCTCTGCCCCCCACAGCTTGCCAGCATGCTCAGCAAAGTAGCTGTTTTCCCTGGCAGTGTAGGTAAAATTCTACAGACCAGCTATGTGGTGTGAGATGGCAGTTACTTGGCACGACGGCCATGGTTTTGATACAAGAAGAAAAGTGTGTCTACTCAAAGCAGAAAGGAGTGATCTAGATCTGCAGCTGTCCATGTAGGAAGCTGGAGCTCTGAGAGAATCTAAGTGTGGCAGTCTGAATATAATTGGCCCCCAAAATCTCATATGGAGTAGCACTTTGGTGTGGCTTTGTTGGAGTGGACATGGCCTTGTTGGAGGAAGTGTGTCACTGTGGGGGTGGTCTCTGATGTTTCCTATGCTCAGGATACTGTGTAGTACCTCTGTCAACGTTCTGTTGCCTACAAGATATAGGATTCTCAGCTACTACCTCAGCACCAAATCTGCCTGCATGCTGCCATGTTCCCTACCAAGACAATAATGGTCTGAACCTCTGAAACTGTAAGCAAGTTGCCCCAATTAAATGTTTTCACTTATAAGAGTTGTCATGGCCATGGCATCTCTTCACAGCAACAGAAATACTGGGATATCAATTTATCCAGTGTGATGCATGTCACACTTTGTAAAGGGCAATCCCTGCTCTCATTCACCCATGTCTTTGCAGAATGAGGCATTTCAAGGGAAACATGTCTACATGATGGGCCTCATCTCATCAAACCTTACTTGTTCAGTAAGGATGCACTGGAGGAGTTGGGTGTTCCCTTCCGAACAGTTTGTTAACTAGCAATCTGGGTAGTGTGCTATGGGAAGGCGGCAGGAAAATTCAGACTTGTGCACACTGCAGAACACCAAGAAAAAGAAGAAAAACCAACTGAGCAATCAGTCATTTAAATGGTGTGTTCTAAGTAAACATGCACTGTTTCCTAACACTGGGTCTCAGTGAAGAGCAGAAGCGGAATTTGAGGAAGATCTGTTCTGGGAATTGGTTCCATCTCCGTCCAGCTCACAAGTTTCAGACACTCTTGGAAATGAGGCTATCCCAAGAGTTATCCCATCCTCTATTCTTTCTTTGCTTTCACAGAAGTTACCTTTAACTCTTATAATTTTTATAGTCATTAAAAAGTATATTTTGACATTTTATTAGAAAGCTCATTAATGTTGCTAGCTAAGAAGCTGTTAAGAATTAATTTCCTGTATGGTCAAACTATATACCTGTCTACACATACCTTCCTACTACAACCAATAATGAGTACATCGAGTCCTTCAATTCAATTAGAAAGTTCCTGGGCTGCTGACTCCAAAAGGATCAATTGCTTTAAATAATTCTGCATGTGTGGATATGAGCTTATGTCATCTATGGTAGCTTCTTCTGTATGGGTGCCATAGTCTATAATGTGTCTCAGTGTTTTATAGAAAGGAAAGGTACCAGGGACCATACATTGTACAACTCCTGTGGGTCTCATTCACATATAGTCTACGGTACCTTACGGAATTGCATAGTACCAGTATAAGCAGCCTTGGGTGGAGGCTACGATTGCTAAAGTCATTAGATAGGCCTCTATATAGCTTGGGTGTGTGCTGTTTGGAAATGGCTGCAGTGTATGTTTTGAGAGTGGTGGTGAGGACGTTAGAGCTCTAGTGGCCAGTGTTCACCCTGAGTAATTTCTGTCACCTGCCAAGAGTTAGAAGAAAGAGGCTGGTGACGCAGACATTAACATTGCTTCCTGGAGAGCTCTAGATTTGGGATGTGCTTGGTTTCAAGACCCAGAGAGGGCTGGGCAGCAGCTAGCGACATATAGGCATTCCCTGGCCTGTAGTTTTTGTGAGGGTGTGTCTGTATACTAGACAGGAAGGGAGCTTTGTAAAATTTATTTTTGAACCTGGTAGCACCTTAGTATTTGGGCAAAGTATGTTTTCCCTGCAAACCGCAAGCTTCTTGGTGATCACAGTTCATGAGAAGGACTCTTACCACCAGCAAAGTGCTCCAGCCAGCTCTTATCTGCAACCGCAGAGCCCTTTAAAGCTCCTAAATGGAGCTGCTGAATTGTTGTCATGGTTACCAGAGGACAGTTTCTGAGGCCACAGTGTTTTCAAGGAGGGTAGTCTTGGGTGGAATATCCTGGGTTTCTGAGTATGTAACAGACTTAAAAGAACAGTTTCTCCCTTCCTTCTCTCTTCCTCATAGTGCCTAACCATGAACCTGACCCTTGGTGACTCAGATGTCCCCAAATGATCATCCTAGTCTCAGCCTAGACCAAACCTTAAACGATCAGACCGATCTAGGAGTGGAAGCACTGACTGTGAGTCTTGGCATGACTCCTCCTGCAAACCAAGAGAGGTTCCTAGACACTTGGTTCATGTAACTTTTTCTAGGCAAAAGATGCAGCTTAAGTAACTCTCTGGACTCAGTATGCTAATAAGGCACCAACATCTTGAGCACTGCATATGGGCACAGCACTTACACAGACCTCATGTAATTCACTAACCTAACAAGAGGGTGGAGAATACCGTTCACATTTTATCTATGGGCAAGGAAGGACATGTAGTGGTGCTGCTTAAGGCTGCACAAGAAGTAGTAGAACTGGGATTCCAACTCAGGGCTATTAGGTTCTAATGGCAGACAACTTTCTTCTATGCCACAGTTGCCATTTTGGATACTGAGAAGAAATAATAGATCCAAGAGACCCATAACCATCTACTGGACACCGAACATCCATCTATTTATTAAGTAAACATGCCCTGAGTTTGTCCTGAGCCAGATCCTCTACTGGTCACTGGCAATATATAAAGACAAATCACACACAGTCTCTGCCCTTAAGAAACTAGCCTACTAACAGCTAGTAGTCATTTAAAAAGAGGAATCTAAAAGACTTCAGTGAAGGGAAGTTAGGGAAACCATTCTGGAAGAAACAGTACCTGGCTGAGCCAGCTCAGTATCAAGGTATGTTGGGGGATAGGAGCAGAGGAGGGGGAACAACAGAGTAAGATCCAGCAATACCTATGCTCAAAGAACTCCCCGAACTGCAGAGATAACTATGACACGTATACAAGGAAAGAGCATAAAATTCCTGAATGAAGGTCCACATAGGGAAGCCATAAAAAAGCGTTGGAGAATTGAAAGACTAGATGCAGAAGGTAAGGTCCGGAAGAGCAGCTAAAGAAACAATGAATAAAGATGCTGCTGCTGCTGCTGCTGCTGCTGCTGCTGCTGCTGCTGCTGCTGCTGCTGATACTTTGAGACAGAGGCTCACTATATAGACCTGGCTGGCCTGGAACTCACACAAATCCACTGTTTGCCTCCCAGGCGGTGGGATTAAAGGCACGTGCCACTATACCGGGTCAATATTTAATTTTTTTTCTTATTTTGTTAGAATTACTTAGAGCTCTATCCTAGTTTCATTTTTTCTTCAGTTTTCATTTCCCAATGAAAGAAAAACATTTATTCAACATACATCTAAAGTTTATGCTGAGGGCAACATATTACTTCAGGCCCCAGTGGAGTGCACCATAGGAGAACTAAACAAAGACAAGAAGGTCCTTGAGTAGACAGCAAACAACCAATATGGTGAAACCTTGAGATGTGAGCTACAAACCAAATGGCATAAGGAACTAAATAATTAATTCAGATTTGAGAATAGGAGCTGTCAGGAAGGAGTCATTGTTGCTGATTTATCCATTTCTGTTTCCATTCAAGATTCATTCCCTGGTGCTTCTCATCTACAATGTCAACTCTTTCGAGCAGTGGTTCTCAGCCTTCTTGGTGCTGCAACCCTTTACTACAGTTCCTCATGCTGTGATGACTCCCAACCATAAAATTATTTTCATTGCTACTTAATAATTGTATTTTACTAGTTATGAATTGCAATGCAAATATCTGTGCTTTCTGATATAGTCTTAGGCGACCCTTGAGAAAGGGTCATTCGAAACCAATGAGGTCGCGACCCATAGATTTGAGAACCACTGCGTTAGCGCAAGCGCCAGTCTAAAGATATAAGCCACCAATGCATTATACAAGCGTGAGCTGCATCCATGCACAGGTGCAAGGTCATGTATGTCTGTAAAAAGAGAACTCAGAAGGCAGAGTAGACAGTTTAGGGACTGACTCCTCAAAAGAAATAAAAAGAGTTTGCCAAGTGGAAACAAGGGCATGAAAGAAGGCATAGAGATTAATGCCCACAGGACGAGAAGGCATGAACTGCGGAGTTTGGCTTTTACTTTCCAGGTAACGGGTAGCCATTAGAAAACATATAAGCCGAACAGGATCGTGACTGGATTTTCGACTTTAGAAACAACCTTCCGTTATGCTTGGAAAGTGGGATGGAAAACCGAGAGTTGGTGGCTCAACCACGGACGCCTACAGCATCTGCATCTCAAAGGAAGGACGGGAGAGTAGGCGGTGGGAGTGGAGGACAGGAGGCTGAAGGGAATCCCTTCGGAGCTGCACATTCTGGGTAAGGGCTACGCAGTTCTAGGCACAGCACAGCTGCCGGGAAAACCCGCCTCCCCTTCCATCCCTCTGGGGAGGAGCTCGGGCCAGAGCACGTGATGCCTGGGGCACCCACCTTTACTCAGGGCAGGCCTGTCGTTTATTCTCGGTTTCATGGGTTTGCCACTTCGGCCCCCAACAATTCAGTTCAGTGTTTCGGTGCGTAAGGAGCCCACTCTATTCCGAACGTTTCTCTATGAGCTTCCTGAGAAGCCTAGTTTGGGAATATAAACCTCAAAGGAGTCTTTGCCCACAAAAAAGATGGCGGCACACGACTTACACTGGGTGCGCGGACCCGGCTCCGGCGTCGGCCCCACTGGGCGAGGCACAAGCGGAAGAGGCGGCTCTGAGATGACCGGGGACCTTCCTGGGAGGGGCTCTGAGCCTGGGAGGCGTGGCCTAATCGGAATCATAGCGTCGGATTGGTCTTCCGCACGCTGGGCGGGGCCTCCACAACACCCTGCCCCTCCCTCCTCGAACCGGAAGTGTCTCTCGGTCTTTCCAGCTGGTTGTCATTTCACTCGGCTCGGTCCTGAGGAGAAGGACTCAGCCGCGGCTGCGGGACCCGGGCACCTG